GGAGGCACGGAAGCACTTAGTTTTGCCTCTCTGCCAGCGCCTCACTCAGCGCTGCTCCAGGACGTCGCCTGGCTCCAGGCGTCGATCCGGACCCACCACACCCAGGGACCTTCCGCTGTCCTGGTGCGGTGATAAGGAAGGTGACAAGTGAACCAGCATGGAAGGAGATCGTGTGTCAGCGAGTCCCTCACCTGCTCTGCCTGATGGTCCCGGGCCCTCTCCTGCATGACCCTCAAGCGCGCCGTCTCCTTCTCCTTCTCCCATCGAATTCTCTTCTGCTCGGCTTCAAGCTCGGCCTCACGCTCCTGCAGAGGACAGAGCCCCATGGCCACCCCCTGCGGCACCTCTGCTGTCTGCTGAGCCTACACCAGTGCCACCACGCTCAGGCTTGTTACCATTTTCTGCCGCTGGTACTCGAGCACCCGCTCGTCTGCTCTCCTCTCCTGCTCCCGCTGCTCCTCCTTGAGTCTCTGGTTCTCATCATTGATGCGTTTAATCTCAGCCTGGATTTTCTTCTGCTGCTCCTGTCTCCGGTCCAAGGCCTGAAAAGGGTGAAGAGGGTCCGGGGCTATCAGTGCTCCTTCTGCTCCTCCCCGTGTGCCTTCCTGAGGGCCCAGCAGCACACTCGGGGCAAGGATCACTTTCTGAGGATGCCCCAACTTCCCCAGGAGACTGAAGCTTTAGTTCTGCTGGACACAGTTTGCACACACCAAGTCTGACTTACCCAGCGATAGGTCACCCTTGCAACGAGGTGAGAATCTAACTCCAGCCCCCCCTGCTCCCCAGCACTGAGTCACTGGTCGCACCTTCAGGTCCTCCCTCTTCAGCTGCTCCATGTACTCCCGCATCTCCTGTGCCTCCTGGTCCTGTCGCTCAGCTCTCAGGGCCCGCTCCTCCGCGTTCTGCTCCATCTGCTCCACGATCTCCTGCCTCCCTCTGGAAAGAAGAGAGTAGAAGGGGTCCCTCAGGCTCCATCCCGCTCCCAGGAGCAGGAACGCTGGCAGGGGCATCAGGTGGTGTGTTTGCTGCCTCATGCTGCCCCGTCCAGCCGCAGGGACCCAAAGGTGGGCTGCGGGGTGAAGCCGGCAGTCAGAGGTTACTCTACCTCGGTCACAAGAGGATGAAGAGGAAAAAAACATGGGGAAGAGGGACCCTTCTGCAAACCTGATCAGCTCCTGCTTCCTCCTGCACTCCAGTTCCTCCTGCATGTCATCGGCCTTTTTCCTCTCCACCTCCATCATCCTGGCCAGGCGCATCTCTTCTTCCTCCAGCTCTTTTGCGATGAGCTGCTTCTCAAGGATCTGCGTGTCACGGATCATGTGGCACTTGGCACCGAGGATCAGCTGTGGGGACAACGGGTCTCCCTGGTCTCTGACCCAGACTTGGCAGCAGCAGCAGGGACAGACACACAGACAAGGAGGGGGAAAAGGATCCTGGGTCGCCACAAGTACAGCAGGGTTTAGGTCTAGAGCAGCTTGGCAAAGCTCTGGGGTCTCTCAGCAGGTCTTAACATGAGCAGAAGCCCACTGGTGCCAGGCACTGCCCGGGAGCCCCTGGCCCTACCTCGCTGAACTCCCTGATCTCATCTTCCTGCTCCATGCGCATCCTGTTCGCCCGCTGCAGCAGGTACTGGGCCCGCTCCCGCGCCTCCTCCTCCAGCTCACTCAGCTTCTCCGTCTTCCCCTGTTGCTTGGCCGCCTTCTTGCGCTCACTCGCTGCCTCCTGAGGGGACAAGCAGGGCTACTGAAAGCCGAGTGACCTCGTGGGGCAGCCCTGCCAGGCTGAGACAGCCCAAAGGGCCAGCCTGGCGCGGGACAGGCACGGTCCACCCCGTTGTGTCCCCGGCACGGAGCCCACGGGCACAGCAGCCTCCTCCAGCCCTTCCTGCACCCCGTGATGACACCCCACTCCCTTTGCAGGGTGGCAGAAACAGGGCACAGCGGCTTTATCGCAGTCTCCAGGGTCACCACAGGCCATGGGAGCAACCAGGGTGGGATTCCTTCCCCAGCCACGGACCAGGGGATCCTGCACAGCCCTTCCTGGGCTGCGTGACAGAAGAGACCAAGATCCATGCTGCCCCTGCAGCAATGGGTGCACCAAAACATGAGTGAAAGAGGGGTGCAGGTGGTGACAGCCCCAGCTGGTGTGTCTCTCACCAGCCAGGTTGGCTCTACTTGGGTGCATCCGCCTCCTCCCACACCCCAAGCCCCACAGCCCGAGGAAAAATGCCTACGAGAACAGCTTCCTTCTCCGCTTTGAGGGCTGACAGCTTGGCCTCCCGCTCCTCCTTGCTCAGAACTTGAGCTGCTTCTTCAATGCGCTGGAAATCGTTCTGCCGGATGATGAGGGATGCTGGTGGCTTCTCTGCAGGGATGCTGGTGGCACAGGGAGAGAGGAGCAGTCAGGGCCCAGAGTCTCCCGCAGCTCCCCCCGGTCCC